ATTTTATCATTATTATCATTACTATTATTATTATTATTATTATTATTATTTTGGGAAGAGGGTTCAAGACAGGGTTGCTCTGTGTAGTCCTGGTTGCCCTGCAACTCACTCTGTAGACCAGGCTGGCCTTGAACTCAAGAGATCCAGCTGCCTCTGCCTCCAAGGTGCTGGAATTAAAGGCGTGAGGCAGCACTGCCCGTTATCATTATTATTATTATTTATTTAACTTTTTGTCAACCCTGAAAATATACACACAGGTAGCGTTACACAGACTGAACAGTTTATATTTAGAAACATGTATTCATATACATATATGCATGCAGTCAGAGTAAAAAAAAAAAATACAGGCCATGAATTTGAAAGACAGCAGAATATGGCGTATATGGACGGGTTTAGAAGGAGGAAGAAGAGAGAAATGTTATTATCAGATTACAAACTATAAAAAGACTTATTCACTTTTATCTTATGTGTATGGGTGTTTTGCCGGCCTGCATGCATGTCTATGCACCATGCGTGCCTGGCTGGAAGAGGTCAGAAGAGGGGTTTGGATCTGCTGGAACTGGAGTTACAGACGACTGGGAGCTGTCACACTAGCTGTTCACCAGGGTCCTCCAAGCCTGAGACACTCCATCCTGCAGGAAGCTCCTGAAGCAGGAAGGTCAGAACTCAAAAGAGCTTCAGGAAGTCCCTGAAATCGACCAGATTCACTAGGTCTCTTCCTGCCGGAGTAAGTAGCAAAGGCTGGGAGTCTCCTCAGGAAGGGAGGCCGAGCTGCAAAGACGGCTCTCGGATCAGACTCTCTGCCTGGAAGAAGCAGAAACCAGCCAAGAGGCCTGGATGAGGTTCAGACCAGAGTCCCCTTGAGAGGACAGTATCCATCCTGCTGAGCTGCCTTCAGGCTGTGCAGCGTGCGTGGGTTCCCAACTCTGTGGGCTGTCGCCCATGCGGGGGTGGGCTTTGGTGATGCAGCTGTCTTTGAGTCACTTCTGCTCCTGTAAGGAACACCTCACCCACATTCCTGTAAGGAACCCCAACGGAACTCCGGGTTCACACGCTGGGGCTCTGGGGGTGCCCGTACTCTGGTCTGTCGAGGGCTATGTGGGGTCAAGTGTTGTGTCTCCCCAGGAAAAGTTGTCTCACAGCACATATGGGTGCTGAGAAACTCAGGCCCTCTGGAAGAACAGCTACTGCTTTAAACTGGTGAGCCATCACCCTAGCCCTCTCCCCATGTCTTGAGACATGGTCTCGTGTGTCCCAGGCTAGCTTCAAGCTCACTGAGACAAGTCCATTGCCAGGCGCTGGTGGACTTGATTTCGAATCCCAGCTACCCGGGGGTGGAGGCAAGAGGATTGCGGGTTCAGGGCCAGTTTGGTTCACAGCAAGCTGAAGTCTAGAGTGGGCAACTCGGCAGGAGTGGGCTGGAGATGGGGATGAGGTTGTATGCATGAGGCCCTGGGTTCTAGGACCAGCACCCCATAAACTAGGCTGGTTACACATGTCTATAACCCTAACCTCAGGCAACGGGACTGCAAATTCGAGGTAGCCTGGCCTACAGAGCCGAAGGTTAGCCAGGGCAACTTAAATGAGACCTTATCTCAAAATAAAAAGGAAGGGGTCGGCAAGACGGCTCAACAGAAAAGGCCTTGCAGTGCCGCTATGAGGGCAGGAATCCACGTTCCCAGAACCCACGGAAATTCCTGGGTGGGTGTGGCAGGGAGCTGCAACCCCAGCCCGAGGGTGTGGAAGACACAGGCGGCCTGCAAAGCAGCCGGCTATCTCCACTGCACCGCACAGTCAGCCGGGGTCAGGGAGAGACTGACGCAGTAGGTGCGGAGGGTGGACAGTGGCGGACGGAAACACTGGAAGCCAGCCTTGTCCCGCCCCATCACGTGTACACGTGTGCACACGCACCTACGCAAACACACGCACCCACACCACACAGGCTCAAAAACATGCTCCCATGTGCACACACATGAATATACATACATACACCCACACCACACACACACACACACACAAACACACACACACAAAAGAAAAATTAAAAACTAAAAAAAAAGAGGAAGAGACAACACTGATTTGGAACCTTCCCATGCATACAAATCCACACGCATCCATAACACACGCGTCCACATACATGACATGTATGCATGAGGCAGGGGCAGGCGGATCTCTGAGTTTGAGGCTAGCCTGCTCTACTTAGTGAGTTCCAGGCCAGCCCGGTCTACAAAGGCGACACCCTCAAAAAGGAGGGAAAACTTTCAGAAGGTTAGGGAGATGCTCCAACCAAGCGCTAGTCCTGTCTGACTAGAGTGTGACAGGAAGCTGGACTCCAGGCACCAGCGGGTCACCCGCCCTCCATCCCACCCCTCAGAGAACTGACCGAATTTCCTCCTCAGCGTTAGGTCCTGAGGCCGCCTCGGCTGCTGGCACACGCTGAGGTTCCTGGGGGAGCTGGCACGCCTCCAGACTGGTCTCGGCCACCGCGGTCGCCAGAGGCCGGAGCTGCGGGCACTCGGCTGTGCTCAGGACCCTTGCCGGCGGCGGCTCGGGGCCCTCATTCTCCGTGCTCTCGTGTTCTGAGTTTTCTGCTGTGCTGGAGTCTTCCAACGAGGACTCGTACCTAAGGGGGGACAGGAGAGGACACCGATGGGGACAGGGGTAGGAGGGATTGCGGCGGCCTCTCTGGTCCTCGGTTGCTCCACGTTCTGTGCTGGGGATGCTAAGTGAGCAGGTGTCTGGAAGCCACAGCCCAACCCCACCCTGGGGGATTCAAGCGCACGGGCCTCCACTTCTAGCCAGGACACGCTGCCACTGTCACCCGGCCGTGCCACACTCCTGCGTCCACAGTGCAGTTCTGGGGCACAGTCGGCCTACACAGAACGGGTCCCCGCCAGGTGACAGACCCCCCTGCCTCAGTTTCCTTATTCTGTGTTCCTTATGCTTTGCCTTGGGGAACTAACAGAAGCTCTCAGAGCTCAGGACCCCTGTCCCCCAATCGGCAGTGTCACTGTGGGAATGCCCTGAGGGCTCTGGGGGGCTGCAGAGCCACTCACCCGCCATTGACGCCCACAAACTGGAGGTTCCTCTGGTGAACGTCGGGGTCTGCGGGGTCCTCTTTCCTCTTCAGGGTAGACTGCGCTCTGGCAGAGGCTCTGCCTGAAAGAGACGATGTGGCGTGAGAGCGCCTGGATTCAGACTCCACCCTGGAGGACCTGTCTCCCTCGCCGAGGTCCGCTTACCCGCTTCCTCGGCCACCTGGGAGTCCTGCGATGCTGCCGGCCTGGTGGGCTCCCCCACAGGGGTGTCCTGGGCAGCCGCCTGGTCTGGGTTCTCAGGTGTCGTGGAGGCCGAGGCGGGGTGTGGACTGGAGGAGGGAGGCCCTGCAGCAGCCTGTGTCCCTGGAGCAACAAGAGGTGTGGCATCAAAGGAGATCAAAACAACAAAACTGGCCTAGTGTGGTGGCCCAGGCCCACTGCCCTAGAGTAGAGGCAGGGGACTAGCCTGGGCTACAGAGCGAGGTTTTGTCTCTAAAGTGCACGAACGATGCTGGTAGATGAAAAGAGCCCTTGCCTGTGATTCACTCGTGAATCACTGAGGTCCATCGTCAACACCACATAAGCCAAGGATTACTCACTACACACTGCCTCCGATTAATAGTCTGGGTTACAGAGTGAAATCTGTCTCAAAAACAAGGTTTGGATGGTGTTGGATGGCTCAGCCGTTAAGCACATGTTCTGCTCTTGTAGAGAACCTTAAGTCAGTTCCCAGGACCCATGTCAGCTGCCTCACCACAGCCTGAAAGCCCAGCTCCCGGGATCGGATGCCCTCCTCTGGCCTCCGTGGGCATCCCCTTCACATAAACAACGATAGATACTTAAACACGCACGTGCGCACACACCAAGGAATGGGCCATGGACCTGCATGGTGGAGGGAGAAAACCAGGACCCTGCTCACCCAGTGGCACACCTTCACCCACCAAGAAAACACCTGCCATTGAAAAGTCTGGGCCACAGCCGGGCGCTGGTGACGCACACCTTTAGTCCCAGCGCTCAGGAGGCAGAGGCAGGAAGATCTCTGGGAGTTTGAGGTCAGCCTGGTCTAGAGAGTGAGTTCCAGGACAGCCAGGGCTCCACAGCGCCACAACAACAGAGAGCCTGGAGGCCTCACAGTTCCGGCTTCAGACTCAATCCCTCACCCTCTGTCACGCTGGTAGAGCACCCATCAAGCACGAGGCCCTGGATTCCAATCTCAGCACCGCAATCAATCAACCAGTCACATCCAAACCCCACTCTGCCAAAATGTTACTTGGAGAAGATGAGAGTAAAGAGGGGCGGGTACAGTGACGCCTCTAGGCCCAGCACTGGCAAGACAGTGGATCTCTGTGAGGCAGGAGGATCTCTGTGAGACTAACCCCAGACCGGTCTACACAGCAAGCTGCCGGCCAGCCAAGGCTATGCAGCCAGACCCTGTCTCAGTGAAAAAGAAAGCTCAGGTAGGCACGGTAGTGTACGCCTGTGATCCCAGCACTCAGGGAGGCAGGGGCAGGTGATGTCTGTGGGTTCGAGGCCAGCCTGGTCTATAAAGCAACCAAGACAGCCAAGGCTACACAGAGAAACCCTGTCTCGGGGGAGGGGAGAGACCGAAATAAACAAGTAAATAGAAAGCTCTGGCAATGGGTGAAGTCCAGATCATTATAAATACGAATCCTGCTGCTGGAGTGGCCAACGGGGGCTGTCAAGATGGCGGCCCCGACACAGTGGATAAAGGCGTTTGCCGCAGATGTCTGGCTTGTGTAAATGAGCAGTGTCCTCCCCACTCAGGCCACACGCGTGTGACTCACGCTAAGAGGGTCCTTTTCCGCATCATTTGTTCTAGGTTTTAAAGATTTTTTTAGTGTGTGTTTCACCGGCCTGCATGTATGTCTGTGACCTGCATGAAAGAGAACACGGATCAGTTTCTTTGGAACTGGAGGTACAGACGGTGCCAGAAACTTAAAGGTTATGAGGCTGGGTGGATCCAAAATGGCAGCCACAGGCAAGTACCATATCTGAGAAGCAGCAGATCTGAAACTCTGAAATCGGTGAGTGGAGGGGCAGCTGAAGCCACAGTGTGGAGGACGAGAACTGAACCTGGCCTCTGGAAGGGCAACCAGTGCTCTTAACGACTGCCTCACCTCTCCAGCCCTTTGTTTGGTCAGACGGTCTCGCCGTATAACCTTGGCTGGTCTAGAACTCACTATGTAGACCAGGCTGACACTGAAATCAGAGAGAGCGTACTGCCTCTGTCTCCTGAGGGCTGAGGCCACCACCGACACAAGAGACTTCTTGGGCCCAGTCTCCAAGGGTGTGCAGTACCCAAGCCTCAAGTGTGGACCCGCAGCGCCATCTCCGCCTCACCTCGCTGCTTGCTGGCCCTCACCCCACTGTAGCTTTGTGTCCCTACTTCCTCAGGGCACGCCTTTCCTGCACAGCACCACTAGGGGCCAAAGAAAGGCAGCTCCCGCGAGCTCTCTCTCTCTCTCTCTCTTTATTTTTTGAGTCAGGGTTCTCTGTGTAGCCTTGGCGGCCCTGAACTTGCTCTGTAGACCAGGCTGTCCTTGAGCTCACAGAGATCCACCTGCCTCTGCCTCCCTAGTGCTGGGATTAAAGGCCTGTGTTACAGCGGCGGCCCAGAGGCAAGTCTCTCTCTCTCTCTCTCTCTCTCTCTCTCTCTCTTTTTTAAAGGGGGTAATGAAAGGAGGGCGCTGTGGGGGTGGGGTGAGAGAGGAGGGAGGGAGCGAGCTGGGACCAAGCTGTAAAATGACTAAATAAATAAATGGCAGCAGGTCTATTTATTGGCTACATTTTTTAAAAAATTCAAAGTTTTGTTTTTGCAGAGAGGGTTCACTATGGCCTGAAGCTTCATACATAGACCAGGCTGGCCTCGAACTCAGAGATGGCCAGCCTCGGTTTTCTTTTTCTTTTTTCTTTTTCTTTTTTTAACATAAGCAAATCACTGCTTTCTCAAGTTCCTGGGCGCTACTAAGTTCTGCAAGGAGCTTAAGTGCTTTCCCTACCCGGGCTGAGTGTGGCCGGGACAGGGTGGGGCGAGAGACTTGGCTACAAGTGTCCAAAAGTAGTATAGTCCAGGGTGTGGCGTCCCCAGCCGACACAGAGCTGAACTCACACTGCGAGCCAGGGAGCCAGGAGCCCGTGCTGGGTGCGCCAGACTCCCCACCTACTCACTGACTGTTTTGTGGTCCTGGGGACGGAACCCCCGGTTGTACACTACCACAGCATTCTTAACTGAGCTGCGGCTCTGGCTTCCTCATCTTCTTTTTTGAGACAGGGGCTCATGTAGCCCAGGGTGGCCTTGACCTCACTGCCTTAACCTCCCAAGCTGTGGGTTAGAACCCAGAACTTCCTGCATTCTGAGCCTGAGCTACATCTTCTTTCTGCTGTTGTCTGGGGGTCTCTCTGTACAGCCCAGGCCGGCCTAGTGCTGCGGAGCCTTCTGCCGCCTCAGTCCCGGGTGCTGGGATGGCAAGCGTGCACCGCTGTGCCTGACTTAGAGCTGCTGGCGGCTGGGACGAGGGGAGGTTCGGGGGGGAGGGGGGAGCTCTGTGGCTAAGGAAGCTTGCCTGATGACCTGAGTTCATCTACGGACTTAGCTGTAAACTGCACGAGGCGGTGGAAGGCTGCGGCCCCAGGTTCCTCCGGTGCAATGGGAGCCACACAGGAGACTCCCTGGAGGTCCTCGGGCTAGCCTGGAAAAGCAGCAGTGAACTAGACAGAAACCTGGCTTCAAGGAGAGGACCAGCGTCTGACATGCCTCCTGTGGCAACACGCTTGCTCTCACCCCCAAACACATCACCCACCTTAAGAATAAACAGGAATACCATACAGCTTAGCTGTGGCCTGCTGAGCTGGGTCATCCCTATAACCCCTAGATGCAGGATTAGGAGTCTGAGGCAGGAGGAACTGAGTGTCAGGGCAGCCTGTATGTATGTGTAAGTACTATACATACATGCAAGATCCTGGGTGAAGAAGAAAAGAGAGAAGACAAAAAAATAAAAAGGAAAAAAATTACGTGTGCTGGGCAGGTGGCTCAGTGAGCAAGAACCTGTGGTGCAAGCCTAAGGATCTGAGTTCAACACCCAAAACCCCTGGCACGGTTGGGTGTGTCTGCAATCCCAGGGCACCTATGGAGAGAGGGGTGCCCAGCTGGAGAATCCTCCGAAGCCAAAGCCTGCCAGCAAATGTGGATGAATGTGTCAACCAAAGCGTTCTACCTCAGACCAATGCCTGACGCTGTGCTCTGACCACCCCCCCACACACCCCATCCTCACACTTGCTCATGTCCCTCCAGCCCACCCTCCTCTCCAGGCCTGTCACCTGGGAGGCTGAGCCGGGGAGAACACAGGTCAAAGCGCTGCCCAGGCTACAGTGGGTTCAAGACTAGCCTGCACAACGATAACACTTTATCTCAAAACAAAACAAAAAGCGTAAAGGGGCTGGTGTGACGACTCGGAAAGTTTGCCACAAGAGCCAGCAGCCTGAATTCCCATTCCCAGAACCCACGTAGAAACAGCCAGACACAGGGCTGGCAAGGTGGCTCAGCCAATTCAAGCGCGTGCTACCACGCCTGAGGACCTGAGGTTTGGTTTCCAGGACTCACAGCGTGGAAGAAGAGAACAGACTCCCCCCAAACTGTCCTCGAACCTCCACACACGTACACTGTGGCACAAGCAGCCCCCCAAAGTCGACCGATGTAACAAAATAGCAAAAATGAAAACAAGGACAGGCACGTGGCACCGCCTGTCTTCCAGGATGGCCTAGCCCCAACCCAGCACTGGAGGAAAAAAAAGTCAAAGTGGAAAAAACAAGAAACAGAGAATCCTGTTTTTCTGAAACACAAGACCATTTAAGGGAATCGGGCAGGCTCGGGGCATGTTTTCCAAGGACATGAAATATCTGAATAAGCGGCTGAAGGTGGGGTGCACCGATGTCATTAAAGGGGATAGGAAGGCCTGGTGGGGTGGTGCATGCCTGAGGGCCCAGGGCATGAGGAGCGTGAGGCAGGAGGATTACATGGTAGCCAACCAGGACAACACAGAGAAAGATCATCTTCAAAGAGCAAAACACTGGGCTGGCGAGATGGCTCAGTGAATAAGGGGGCTTGCTGCTAAGTGGATGCTGAGAGTTGGATTGCTGGGACCTGCACGGCAGGAGGCAGATGCTCCCGAAAGCCGTGCTGGGACTTCTACACGTGTGCGTGCCTGTGCACACACACCGGATGTTGGCCAAGCATGGCAGGGAACACGTGTGACCCAGCACTGCGGTGGCAGGTGAAGGAAGATCAAGGAGTTTGAGGTTGGGGCGGCTTGTAGCACCTGGGGAAGACCCTGTTCCAGAAAACC